ACATGACAAATCTTCATACTCTGGGGTTACTTGTGTAGTACCACAGGGCTCAGTGCTTGGACCAATTCTTTTTTTACTATATATATGTTTCCAATTAGTAAAATCATTAGGCAGCATGGGATAAATTTCCACTGTTATGCTGACGATACTCAGTTATATTTATCCATAAACTCTGATGAACCTAATCAGTAAGGTAGATTGCAGGCTTGTCTTGAAGTCATAAAAAATTGGATGACTCTAATTTTTCTGCTTTTAAATCAAGACAAGACTGAAGTTCACACCTTTGGAACTTCAGAAAAGGAAATTGCTTAGTCAATCACCTGACTTGAATGGCATTAAATTAGTCTCTGAGAACAAAGTAAGGAACCTTGGTGTTATCTTTGTTTAGGAGATGTCATTTAAACTCTATGTTAAAGAGGTTTGTAGGATTTCCTTCTTCCACCTTTGGAATATTGCAAAGATTACATTGGAAGCATCCTTTCCAGAAGTGATGTTGAAAAACTAGTTCATGCATTTATTACATCAAGACTGGATTACTGTAATTCATTACTATCAGGAAGTCCACAGAATGTCTTCAGCTTGTCCAAAATGCTGCAGCTAGAGTTCTGATGAGAATTAAAAAGAGAGATCATATCTCTCCTGTCTTGGATTCCCTACATTGGCTACCTGTTACATTCAGAATAGATTTAAAGATCCTTCTTCTCACATATAAAGCTCTTAATAATCAAGCTCCATCATACATTGGTGACCTAGAGCAGCGGTTCCCAAACTTATTTAGCCGTGCACCCCCTTCTATGTCCCGACCATGTCGACGCACCCCCCGTCCCCGTCAAGCTAAACAGTCACTCGACAGACAGGGTTAAAAAAAATATGGTCGACCTTTTTCCCCATCACTTTCATTTTTTAAATAGTAATTAATAAACATTCGATACCGTTACAACTTCCTTTGATTTAATTTTAAATAAATATTTAGAGTGCCCAGGTAGCACATAAAAAATGCAATTTAACGTTTTTCTTAAAGTAGGAACGTTTAACCTGTGCGGTCAGAGCGCTCTCCTTCCTTCTGCTCTGCATAAACCTGAACTGATCACCTGCTTGTGCGTAATCAAATGTCTAAAGGGGAAAAGATGGAAACGATATAGCCATGAGGTTCACTTTTGCCTCAGACCGACTTTTTGCTGTTTTATGGTGTGGCTGAATCTGCGATCTGCTGCCACGCAGACTGGAATAACAAATGCTGCAGTAACATGAGTTGTAGTCAGGTTCGGAGTCACTGGCTGGAGCAGACCCGACTTTAATGCATCATCCCAAAATAGAAGCTAATATCTTAATTTGACCTGGAATGAAAAATGTTATAAAACCTCTTAAAAGTTTTTATCACAGAGGAGGCAGCGCTCATTTCTGCCTTCAGTCTGACGGCGCGCCGGAGTTTGCGCAGGGTGCACGCTTATTGAATCTGTGTGTGTGTGTGTGTGTGCGCGCGCGCGGCACAGCTCCATGAGCCGCTCCAGTCACCGCGTCTCATTATCGGCGCTATTTAAACCAATGTTGTAAAATGACTTCTGCCCAGCCCAGATGTGCTCACTTGTGCACCTGTGAGCCGTGGTTCCGCTGGAACGCGTCTGACCTCTGACAGACGCACTCTGAACTTCAGATCTTCAGCGCGCTGTTAATAGCCTGAATAGGAATCATTTCTTGATTTATTTAGTTACATCCACAATGTTCTGTGTGTAAGGTTTACAATGTCAGAACACCTGCATGAGACAGGTGTTAATTACAATCTGCCAGAATGACTCACCACCTTCAGATTCCTCCAACACCGTTAAAAATGATCAAATACGGAACATATCGGCGTGCGCAGGCCAGAGTGCTGAAGCTCGGCGCATTGTTATTATGAAGCTAGGGCACATGCGGAGGACACACGCGCAAAAATATACTTGTTTTCAATTACATTTATTGGGTCCACTTACTTTTTAGGCCCACCCACAAATGAGTTTCTGGCTATGCTAATGGTGACATATGACAGACTTCTGAGCTCCGCAGCCATTACACTTTTCACCTCGCGCACCCCCTAGCGGCAGCTCGCGCACCCCTGGGGGTGCGCGCACCACACTTTGGGAATCCCTGACCTATAGTGTGTCTGCTCTGTCTTCTCCATCCCCAGTGAGTCGTGGTGGATGGCTGCTTATACTGAGCCAGGGTCCTCTGGAGGTTTCTTCCTACTAAAAGTGAGTTTTCCTCTCCACTGTCGCTATATGCTTGCTTAGTATGGGGATTGCAGTAAAGACTCTGACACCAGTCAGTGACTCGATGCGATCTGCTGGGTTCTTGAAACTTTTTACTTACTGGCAAAATAAACTGAATGTTTATTTTGTGAAGTGCCTTGAGACAACTCTGTGGAAACACAATATGTTTGCTATGTAAATAAATTGAGTTGAATTGAATTAATAATTCTAAAACAATGTGTTTTAGCTCTGTTGCCTGGTTGGAGGTTCATGTTAACGAGCATGAGGCGTTGCTTTTGACTATACTGTAAGTGTGGAACTGCGAAGAACAGCTTAAGGTGCAGTACATTTTTTTGTCTTTGGATAGGTGCTGTCGGATAAAAAAGGCCTGATTTCTGCTTTAAATCTGGGATATGTTAGCCTAGAAATCTAGACAGACCGTAGCAGAAGGCAAAAGAACTGTTCTGCAGGTTGGTCCGTGCCCCATTGTAGCCTCAGCAGGTCTGAACATTCTTGTGTATTGCCAATTGTTTGGTGAGGAGAATGTATGATGGCTTGTCAGACTATAGGGTTTTGTGGTTTAAAATTCCTGAAGTAACTTAAAAAAATCTTGACTATCTGACACTGTTCTGTGATATAAAGTAGGTAATCTTTTATAATTTATAGTAGAATAAATTGTAAGTATGGCAAAGACACATATAGTGTTGAAACATTAGTTTCTTTTTTTGCATCAAAACATTTTTACTCACCTGAATGTTCCAGCCCTCAGCTTCTTCGTCTTTTATCATTTATTTCTCCCAAAAGTCCCTCCCCTGGCCTCTACAGCAGAATGAATCATTTAACCTGGAGTGTTGACCATTAGAGTTGCATATCCACAACAGGGAGCTATCAATCAATGTGAAGGCCCCCCAGTCCTCAGCATGCACTGCGCGGTGACACAGACTCGCCTCAGTCAGCTTAGCACACCAACCTAGCTTGAATGCTAACCCAACTATTCAATGCTAACTTGCATTGAATTAATGTAAGTCTGTACACTTTGCGTTAACTGTGGAAGATGAGGGAGAGGACAAAAATGGATTTACCTTTTGTTTATTGGAGCTAAATGATTAGCATAGTGTTCAACCTTACGCTACATCAGGCTATTTTTAGTACGTTGTAGCATTAGCAGCAATGTGCATCACAAGTTCCTGATTCCTGCAGGGTTTTTGATGTTTCCTTGCTTGAACACTGCAGAATTGATTAGAGTGAGTGATTAGCAGCTCCTGCAGAACCTGTTGAAGGCTGATGAGACAAATCAGCAGTTGGAATCAGGTCTGTCTGAGCAGGAACATCGAAAACATTACTTGTTTGTTAGCACTTCATTTCATAATCCCCTTCTCTCCTTAATGACGTCACACTATGTACCCCAGCTTTAACTCTGGAAATAAAATTTGGATTAAACAAAACTTGGGAACAAAAGGAAAAAAACAATCTCTCTGTTTTATTTTCTTCAGCGTTGTCCCCTAATACTCCATCTTAAAACACAAATATCCACCTTCATATCCAGATAGTTAAACAGGAGCCATTTATCTGTTGTCAGTCCGTGACTGAAGTCTCTGAATTTTTTTTTTCACTTGAAAAACCTCAAGTGTTCACACTGGATGACACTAATTCTGCTATGCATTGACTAATACTTGGCCCTTAAAAACAATGTTAACAAGTTGTTTTATTAAAGGAACAGAAGGAGAAGGTGCAATTATTACAATATTTAAGCAAGAAAGTCAATCTTAACATCTCAATTTGTCTTCGTCTTCGTCTTCCTCCGCTTATCCGGGTCTGGGTCGCGGGGGCAGCATCCCAACTAGGGAGCTCCAGGCCGTCCTCTCCCCGGCCTTGTCCACCAGCTCCTCCGGCAGGACCCCAAGGCGTTCCCGGACCAGATTGGAGATGTAACCTCTCCAACGTGTCCTGGGTCGACCCGGGGGCCTCCTGCCGGCAGGACATGCCCGAAACACCTCCCCGGGGAGGCGTCCAGGAGGCATCCTGACCAGATGCCCAAACCACCTCAACTGGCTCCTTTCGATCCGGAGGAGCAGCGGTTCTACTCCGAGTCCCTCCCGAATGTCCGAGCTCCTCACCCTATCTCTAAGGCTGAGCCCGGCCACCCTACGGAGGAAACTCATTTCGGCCGCTTGTATCCGCGATCTCGTTCTTTCGGTCATTACCCAAAGCTCATGACCATAGGTGAGGATTGGGACGTAGATCGACCGGTAGATCGAGAGTCTGGCTTTCTGGCTCAGCTCCCTCTTCACCACGACAGATCGGCTCAGCGTCCGCATCACTGCAGACGCCGAACCAATCCGCCTGTCGATCTCCCGATCCCTCCTACCCTCACTCGTGAACAAGACCCCGAGATACTTAAACTCCTCCACTTGAGGTAGGACCTCTCCCCCGACCCGGAGGTGGCAAGCCACCCTTTTCCGGTCGAGAACCATGGTCTCAGATTTGGAGGTGCTGACCCTCATCCCAGCCGCTTCACATTCGGCCGCGAACCTACCCAGCAAGAGCTGAAGGTCAGAGCTGGATGAAGCTAGGAGGACCACATCATCCGCAAAAAGCAGAGACGAGATTCTCCTGCCACCAAACTCGACACACTCCACACCACGGCTGCGTCTAGAAATTCTGTCCATAAAAGTGATGAACAGAACCGGTGACAAAGGGCAGCCCTTAATTTGTGGTTTGAAAAATATATATATTTTTGACATTATATTTCATGCAAACCCAGAATCCAGCATGTATACAAAAATGTTCTTTATTTCTAATAAAGATGATTACATACAAAGTAATAGGTCATTTTATGATGTACTCTGATTAATACATTCTTGCAAACTGCTTTACAAAGCCGAGGAAATTTAGAAAGAGCACATGAGGAAAAGTATCATCTAGGTTATTGTAACTGTGCAGCAAACTATACAAATATCTGTCTGGATATTATGAACATGAGAGGAAGACTACATTGTGGTAATGGGCACAAAAGGTAGCATCAAAAATGAAAACGTGTACAACTTTTAAAGGTACATTTTTTGACACACAAAGCCACATACATTGTATGTGTTCATCTTTTTTTGTCAGGACATGAAAAGCTAACTACATCATTCACAGATTCAGCAGTTTGTTTAAATACCTCATTTCTACAACGTGAATTTACATCGTTTTTTGTTTGTTTTAAAGTAGAAAGTGCAAATACAATTGTTTCCGTTATTGCCGACTGGTGAGGGCAGAGTCTCAATGCAAGAGGGGAAATGTCAGTTGTTGGTCTTAGCCTTGCTTCTTCGATGGATTCTGAGGAGCGGAAACATAAAATTACTTCAGTTTAGTCAAGCATGGATATGTTTACACTTTGATAACTTTTTTTGTGTCTGCATGTGCAAATAAACTGTAGTCTTGCTGCCAATGGGGAACCTAATGCCAATCTACTTCTGGTCAATGGGTCCCCTACTGCCAAATAACGAATATTAATCTATGTACCGATAAAAGTTATTTTCTGATCCCGTTTGATACGTGCCATAGATTTAACATACGCTGTCCGTGTAGTATTTTAAAGACGCACTTTGATGCCAAGAAAGTGCTTGTTTTTCACAGGCAGCAAAAATTACCTTAGGTGTTTTGTGAAAACTTGTTGTAGACTACAACTGCTTGTCCCACAAAAATTACCTCATCAAGCCAGACAAGTAGAAGAAGGACTTTGACTTTTGTGAGCTTCGCGTCCTTCTTCCAGGATGAAAGAGAGTCTTAAACATGTAGAAAACCACTGTAAATCCATCCATCCATCCATTTTTGTCCACTTATTCAGGGTTGGGTCATGGGGACAGCATCCTAAGCAGGGAGACCCAGACTTCCCTCTCCTAAGCCACTTGGACCAGCTCCTCCGGGGGAATCCCAAGGTGTTCCCTGGCCAGCGGAGAAACATAGTTCCTCCACTGTGTCCTGGGTCTTCCTTTGGGTCTCTTTCCGGTTGGATGTACCCTAAAAACCTCACCAGGAAGATTTCCAGGAGGCACCCTAACTAGATGCCAGAGCCCCCTCCACTGGCTCCTCTCGATGTGGAGGAGCAGCGGGTCTACTCCAAACCCCTCCGGGATGACCAAGCTTCTCACCCTTTCTCTAAGAGAGAGGCCAGACACCCTGTGGAGAGACTTGTATTGGCTGCTTGTATTCACAATCTAGTTCTTTCGGTCTCTACCCAAAGCTCGTGACCATAGATGAGGGTTGGAACGTAGATTGACAGGTAAATCAAGTGCTTAGCCATCCGGCTCAGCTCTCTCTTCCCCCTCTGCACCAGTCCGCCTATCGGTCTGACGTTCCATCTTTCCCTCACTCGTAAACAAGATCCCGAGATACTTAAGCTCCTCCACTTGAGGCAGGACCCCGTCCCTGATCTGTAGAAGGCATTCTAACATTTTTTGATTCAACACCATAGTCTCAGATTTGTAGGAGCTGATTCTCATCCCAGCTGCTTCACACTTCACTGGGAATTGCTCCAACGAAAGCTGGAGATCACATTATGATGGGGCAACAGAACCACATCATCTGCAAAAAGCAGAGACCGAATCCTCGGGCCACCAAAACATATCCCCTCAGCACCTTGGCTGCACCTAGAAATCCTGTCCATAAAAGTTCTGAACAAAACCGTTGATAAAGGGCAGCCTTGGCGGAGTCCAATTCTCACCGGGAACGAGCCTGACTTACTTACTGCTGGCAGTAAGCACTATAAGGCTGACTTCTGATTTGTAGTCTTTTAAATTACCAATTTTTACAAGTAAATTCATCTCAAAATACGTGACAGAGACACAAAACACACAATTATCATTTAAAGTGAAGTACAACATATGTGGGATTAAAGGCAAAGCGAACCAGAAAAGTCTGAAAATGCATCGCCCCGTTCACTTACACGGACCATTCTGGGAAACCATGAGACGACCAGAAGGGGAGGAGACTTAAGCTTGGTTTATGCTTGACGCATTCACTTTCCGCGCGGTGATGTGGCTCACGGCTGGAACGCGCTTCACAACTCGCAGCGTTTATGGTTTGTGCGGCTCGTCTCTGCGGTGAGCCAATATTCTCCCAAACTGAATGGGGCAGCATGGAGCTCTACGGCATGCATCCAACACTACACCATAGTAGAAGTAGAAATGACTGTTTACAACATGGTATTTCAGCATTTTTAACAGCGTCCTCGTCTTTTCCGACAGTGCGAGCTATTTCTCTCCAAGAATTATTAACAACATGTTGATCACGGTGATCTCTGAGAGCTGAATCATACAATTGTCTGTATTTACGAACCTCTGCCTTGCCGGTCCGCCATGTTTTTCCACATCCGACCGTCCGCGTGGTTAGAAATTTTCCGAGGTGCGCGTTGCGGAAATCTTGGGCCGTGCGGAGATGCGGTGGAGGGGCGTGGTTGTTAAAATGACGCAAAATGACGCAACTTTTCCGCGCGGAGCCGTGCGGACCTCGCGGACGCGTCAAGCATAAACCAACCTTTAGGCTCCCTATTTCTGAGGCAGCGACTTCAAAAGAAAAGTACTTTACTTACTAGTTTACTAGAAGGTAAGTCTTCCCCTGGTTTGACTCCTGTAGGACACAAAGTGATATGCCAAGTATTAGGAACGCATCAGATCCACTGTATTGGTTTAAAATGCGCTGCACCTGTTTTTGCACAATATTTGCTTTAGCTATTTGCTCCTTCTGAGTAAAAGACTAAAAAAGCAAAAATGATTTGCAGGCATAAAAACACCCATTGTTTAGAGCTATTGTGAGCAATTAGCAGTTTACTCTTTGTGTCAGTTTGCAGTTATCCTGCTGCAAAAAACAAATATATATACACCACCAGCATGCAGGTTTCAGCTAGCTATAGGCTATGGGTGATAAATCTACTCACTGTATCTTTTTTTATTAATACATTGAAGGAATAGATAATTGTTTCTATACTGGATTTAGCAATGTACCCCCCATCCCCATCCCACTGGGCTGCTGATCAAGAAAAACTTGGTGGTAATCATAGGTGGAGGGGTATTATGGTAAGACATTGAAAGTTTGTCTCACTAGTTTCTGAATGAGAAGTTGTATCACTTTAAATTCTACATTTGTATTTTGTAATTTTATTACAGATGCAACAGTGTCTGTCATCCCTTCTAATGATAAGTGTCAAATACTTTTCCTGACATGCCTGCCCTCTTTTCTTGAAGTTGGCAGAGTTTTCCTGTTTCGTTTCCTGAGATGTAATTGCCACCAGCTTTAGATCGGCAGTGGTTTTCTTATTATACACAGAGCAGTGTTGCAACCATGTGCTTTTGAAAAAGTGTACATAAATAAGATGAATTGTATAGTTTACATGAAGATAGAAGGGTTTTCATTTAAATAACCAGCCCAGAGAGATGCTGGTGTGTTGGGAGCTCTGTTTTAGGAACCAAATGTCTATTAGAAACCCAGCTCAGTGGCATAGTCGTATGAGTGTCTGTCCTGAGACTGGGAGAATCTCCAGTTGGGCCATACCAAAGACTTCAAAAATGGGACCCAGTGCCTCCCCCAAGGGATGGGTCAAATGCGGAGAACAAATTTCACACACCAGTGTGCCAACTAACAGGACATAACTAACCAATTAACTGAACTTTAACTTTAGTGATGGGTTTGTGGGTTAGAGACGGGTGCAAACCCCCTTGTGAGACTGTCCCTGGTTTTAAAAAGAGAAAACCAAAGCAGGTTTTTCTATTTTCCATTAATACTAGAGAGCTTGTTAATTACACATGCACAATTAAATGGTTTCATGGACAACAGTCGCATGAAAACCTCAAAAAATGATAAAAATGAATCTAAACCAGATATTTTTTCACATTTTTGTATTGACCCTTTGCACCGACGTCACCTAATCACGTGGGCCCACCATGGTGGACGGCAGCATGTAAACAGTGAGCGACACGAATACTAAACAAAGGGGAAAGTAGAGCCTGAAATTGTTTTTGCGATCAAAACAAAACTCCTCCAGCATTCCTTCCACTAGTTCATGCCCAGTTCAGATATCAGAAGAAGTAGCGCATCTAGCGGGGGCTCATTGAGAGCGGTATGCTAACTAGCTTACCAACGTTAGCTTACGTTCTCTCTGCAGCTGTTCACCGATGTAAACATGTTGCTGACTTTGCCTAAATTCACCCCTCTGGATTTATAACGTTATGTTAAAAACAGCGTTTCACTTTACACCAAAGCTGATTGTTAAAAAGTCCGGATCCCTACCAGCTTCTGTTGCTGGTGGTGTTACCGGGTTCAGCTGCTGCTCTCACACCGGAATGAGAAGATCTCTGAACGTCGACGCTCATATAAATAAATAACGTAATTTTAACACACGTAATCATACATCGGAGCTTTAATATTGTTAATAATTATCTCACTTTACACTACAGTGGACGGAGTGCAGTCTCCGTGGTGAAATACCATCCATCCATCAGGATTATCAATAACTAGTATAAACACATCACATGTATCCCTGTCCCTGTCTTCCTCATGAAATAAATGAACGTTAATCTTACACGGTAAAAACATGTTCGCTGCAAATCTGAGGCCTGCTAGTCTGCTTGATTGATCACTGCAGTTCATCTCCGTCCTCAGTCTCCATCAAAGTTATTAAAACAACAAAACGAGTTGAGTTTACGTCCTTGTCTGTTAATGCAGCCGACCACGCAGCAAGCTAAAACCATTTTACTATCAAATCAGCTAAATAAAAGCGATAAAAGGCTACAAACTGGCTTGTTTTGACTCCCTTCACTGGAGTTTCTACGGGTGTAAACGGTCTTTTTGCCGTCCATCATGGCGAAGGGGGCGGTCTCATGAGTGGCGTGACGTCACGTGCAAAGGGTCATTATCTGTAAACTATATATTTGTGTTATTCCTGTGTTGCTGAAGCCAAGCAACTTTGCCTTCTGAGAGACAAATACCAGCTAACATTACAAAGAGTTATGTTGTTCAGCTCGCCTTCTTCCTTGGTCACCCCGAGGCAACCCATCAGCTCCTGCAGAGACAGTGCCTTGTCATTGCTGATGTCGCAGTACTCCACAAACTTCTTAACACACTTCTTGGGCTTGGACTTCTTGCGAAGAAATCGTTTGAATGGCTTGATCTCCTTCTTTCCAATGTCCCCGCTGGCGTTTTTGTCCAGCTGACTGAAGTACCAGTGGACGACCCTCTCTTCCAGAGTGTGACTAGGGTCGGGTTCGGCCATCCTGAAGGTCAGGAATCAGTTCAACAGATTATCAGAACTTCATTTCCTCAAAACAAAATCCACCAACTCCATTCAGATATTTTAGAGTAAGCAGTGAAGAACGGTAATCGTAAGATAAACACATCCACTTCCAAAAGCCATACCTTCCAGCTGATGCTGGATCTGTGACAGCATGCACCATGTCTGTCGACAGTGCGTCAAGAACACTTGTCAGGAACTCTGTTTTCTTTGCCCCAGGACAGCCTGGAAAATAAACCACACAGACATGACTGTATAAGAGCATGCAGCACGCAGTTCATGTGGGATTAACTGTACTGTGTACTGGGTAAAAAGTATCCACTAAATAAAATTAAAATCTTATCACCAATGTGGAAAACTTCCAATCATGGGTGGTTTACTAAATGTCTGTGGAGGGAGGTTAACAGCACTATAGTTTTAACATGAAAACAGAAGAGGAGGAAACAAATGCAAGACTAATTTTGATCTCTTTCATAAAGTTCTGGAGCTTCGGTCACTGTCGGAGGAAGATGACTGTGGTTAAGGCAACTGCGCACAATGATGAAACTCGCTTGAGAGAAAAAGTGCTTAATTTGTTCATCTAGCCACATTATTAGATACACCTGTATCACTGTGAGATGGTATCATGTTAATGTGGATCACAACCTCTGAGGAATGTTTCCAGCATCACATTGAACCTTTGTAGTTCTGAAAGCAAAAGGGGTCCATCTATGGACGTAATTTTTGGGGGGGGACAGGGGGGACATGTCCCCCCCACTTTTTCCAAAGTCAAGTTTTGACCCCTGCACACTTTTTACCATCTAAAAACAACATTACGCTATATTAAATGGACACTGGTTGAGCTCTAGGACCAAGTGGAAAACAACAGTTTTTGTTGAAGCCTGTTTCCCTTTAGAACATACTGTAAAGATACCCCCCCCCCGTGTCCCCCCCACTTCTAAAGTGAAAATTACGTCCATGGGTCTATCTTGGTTGTAAAGTGTCGGATAAGTGCATATTTTTGCAATAAGATAGTTTTGAATGATAGAACAAAGCCAAGTCGAGCATTATCGCTCACAAAATGATTGGAAAAAATCCTAAATTAAGGGACGTGGGTGCAGAATGACCCTAATGTCAGTAATTGTCTGTTAAGCCATATAATTTTGAGAGCGTGCCAGCCATGTTTGCTCTAAAAGAGCTGAGGGCTACGGAGAGCTGACAGATTCCAGGATTCCAATTTACTTTGCTTTCTCACAGTCTGACTTGGCTCTACTACCGCGTCTGCAGAGGAGAAGGTGAAAAAAATTCTCTACAGGTTGCTGCTTTTTTTATGGCACTGGCCTGCGGGGCCAGATTCTCCTGTGCAGGAGATAATAGCATGCTTTACACCTCGCTAACAGGTGGTGAGCAGCATCTGTGTGAGCACCCAGCCTCACTCCACTCTCCAACATTTCAATAGCCAGCTCCAGGACGAGGGCTGAAACAGTCACGTTTGAACACTTCCACTGCTGCATGTGGAACAGACTTTCCCGCAGGTTTTGGTAGAGCTTCCAAAACCCAGTAAAATATCCGACCCACCTGCTAATAGCCAAACTGGTGCCTTCTAGGGACTGTTGTGGTGGTATAGTCGAGACAGTCACTCAATTTCGCCGTCAGAAGCAAAAGAGTTCTTATCTGGTTGCTTATTGAGAAGAGATTTGTGGGATGACTTGGTCGGGGCTTTTCGTGGAGCACAAACATGCGCTCTAATTCTGCAGGAATCTGATCACGCCTGTGGTTCATTCAAATGGTGAACAGATCAACCCTTTTTTCTGACTGGATACTGTTTAAGTAAGGACACAAATGGACTGCCAAAGCACAAAAAAGCTTTAATAAGAAGCTGTACCAGCCTTTGCATATCTGTGAAAACTTGGCCAGTATGAGAGTATTTACGTGTGTGCGTTACTGCTAATAAGAAGCTGTGTTTTTCTTCTGAGCCACACGGGTCAGAACCCTGTCAGCACTCACAGCAGCAGCTCCAAACAACTGCCCCGGCGCTACTCGATGATCCAGGGCTGCCAGGCAAGCAAGCCAACTGCTCAGCTTTCCTTTCCTGCCCCTTCCAAAGCAAATTGCTTTTTTTCCCATCTCACCCCATAAAACTCTCAGCGCCCGTGGTTCAGCAGCAAATGCACTGCAGTAATGTAAAGACGACACTTATAATTGCTCTGGATTAATACAGCTGCAGTGTTTATAGTTGTGGACACAATTATTTATGAAGAAAAAATGATATTGTGGGTTTTTTTAATCCAACATTTGGTTAAATCTTAATTCACGGGACATCAAGAATCTGATTGATTTTATATGCCACTGAAAAGCTAAGATGAGGAAAATCTTAGTCTAACCAGATTAATCTGGGATCTGTCTGTATCTCTGCTTATTATGAAGACCACAAGAGTCCCTGATGCTTGAGCAG